CCGTGCCCATTTAGACCCAAGTCTACTCTGTAGACATCATTCTACTATGTAGACATCAGGAAAATTTGGTAGTGTTTTAATTTTTTTAATTCTATTGAGATGTGTCCACCAATTTTTTGAGCCGTATGCCTTTTTAAATATACATGCCTTCTTTACTAATCTCTACCATAGAGGTGCTTTTACCTGCATCTGAGAATGAGCCTGCCTGTACTCTAATATCAGGCCAGGAGGCCCTTCTGAAGGTGCCGTCCCTGAAAGAGGTGAGTGGGATGGCATGTCGAAATAGGGCCTTCTCGGCTGGTGCCCCCCAACTTTGGAATGCCCCCCATAGAGATCCCCCTGGCTCCGACACTTTTGGCTTTTCGGCGCCAGGCAAAGACTTTTTTGTTTAGCCAGCATTTTAATTAAATGGTATCCTTTAGCTGGCCATATGACCAGCAGGATTTATTAATGATAAATTAACTGTTTTAATATAGGGTTTTATTATAATATTGGGAATTTTTAATGGTTTTAATGTTTTTCAAAAGTTTTAATATTGTTGTATGCTGCTCAGAGACCATTTGTAATGGCTCGGCTAAAAATCTTGTAAATAAATCAAACAAAACACTGTGATAATTCTTCTAGTGATGTTAGCTATTATGAAACATTTAAAGACTGCTTAGTTTTAGTAAACATTGAATAATAGTAGATGAAAATGTAGACAATGGAGCCTTGATTAGTTACTTTTGGACGTGTGGATGTTTTCTGCAGGGTGTAACGCTGACTGATCTTCAAGAAGCTGAAAAAACTATCAGTAGAAGTCGTACTACACGAACTAGAGAACAAGAGAATGAAGAAAAAGAAAAGGAGGAAAAAGAAAAACAAGACAAAGAAAAACAAGAAGAAAAGAAGGAGTCTGAAACTAAAGATGATGACTATAGGCAAAGATATGCACGAACTACAGAAGAGGTATTTCATTGTTTTCACGTATGAAATACAGTAAGCCTGTATTTGTGAGATGGTGTTTCTGAAACTGTAGTAAATAGCTCACTTGATTAAAATTCTACTGTATATTAGCATACTTCCGGTCTAATATGGGCCTTTTCCTGTTAATTAGCCATATCATCGCTATAGAACTACATCTTCAGCGACTTCATCAACATCTTCAGTTGCCACTTCTACTTCTTCAGGCCAACTAAACAGACCAAATAGCATTATAGGTATAACTTCTGCTTATTCCAGAAGTGGAACAAAGGAAAATGAGAGGGGTAAGTCTCTTTTTGTTTGTTTGTTTTTTGTTTGTTTGTTTTTTGCTTTCATTGCCAGGGAAAAAGCTATCCCTTCAAGAAAACATAGTTCACAATGAATGACTGGTAAAAATCCTTGTAACATCTCCACCTAGGATCAGTATTTTCTCTTTTGGAATTATCTTTTCAGATTGCTTTCGTTATAGAAAGCATATACTTTGATCTTGAATTTCCATAATTTCTTTGGACAATATCTAACAGACCTTTCCTCTGATGAGCAGTTTCTGTCAGAAGATTTTGTGTGTTTGGGGGATAATTTTACATCTTTGTATCCTCAGCATCTGTTTTAAAGGATTGAGTGACCTATTGGTGCAGGATTGCCTTATGGGGTGGGGGGAGGGATGGGGAAATCATATTGTACTTCCACAATATTGGATTTCACCAGATATTGAAGTTCCAGATTTTAATTTTGAATTATGGTGGAAGCATTTAGAAAAAGAAATATTTTAGGAGTGTGCGTAAGCACTGTGTTGCTTAATATAGATTCATTTTTCAGCCCTGAAGACTGCAGCAGTGAAATAAACAACTACCTGGATGTTTGTGATTTCTTGTGTTAATTCAAGGGTAAACACAGATTAAGTGCATGATAGCAAAAGAATGTTATATGCTTGTGCAGCCCTGCTTAGTCTTGTATAGTTAATAAAAGCATTTTGGAGCTGAACATTCAATTTGAAAATTGTTTGATCTTGTTGATATGTTGCTTAAATTTACAGATGATGAATCTTTACCATCTGAAAATTGCTGTACTTCATTAAATCCATTACTATATCAAGAAACTGAACTAGTGGAAAGACAAATCTCTCTCTAAAAGGGTCCCTTGCACGCTAAATTATTGATGCTTCTTGCTAAACAAATACTTACTTCAATGCTCTTAATGCTTTTGATGGATATGTGTTTGTAGATATTGTATCATATGCAATCCATGTAATGTTACGTTGAAATATTCAGGTCTAACTAAGGAACAACCAGGGATGACAAATAGAATTATAGCCTATTAAAGTTAATCCCATGTTGGATATTCTCAAAAACACTTTAGGATTCTGTTTCATAGTATTTGGTACTGTGTGTCCTGCTTCAGAATCCACAATAGAAAAGTTGTGTGTTACATATCAGAATATGTTCTGACCATCATTAAAACATCAAAACATTGCTTCTTAAATAGAAACAGGGAAGAAAGAAGAAGAAAAAGAAGAAGATAAATCACAGACAAAATCAATAAGGGAAAGACGACGACCAAGGGAAAAGCGAAGATCTACAGGAGTTTCTTTTTGGACTCAAGATGTAAGTGAAAATACATTAAGTTGCCCATAGTTTTGTATTTGGAAGTTTAGGGCCAGATGAATAAACCAGTATGTATATTCTAGTGCATAATGAAGCCAGCAGCGTGATTTACTGGAAAAATTGTGAATCTGACTGTAGCCTTCATATTGAAAATTCATGTTTCAGATACAAGTTAGATTCAGATGAATTTGTAAAGAGTACCAGCATTCTTAAAGTAGTATATGGTAGCAATAACCACAGGTCAGATCCAAAACTGCAGCACATTTCAGGGACCATACTCATTTGCAGTGTATGTGGGAAGTTTTTTGCCTAATTTTATTATTGATGTCACCATTTCTAGAGCATTCCTGAATCCAGTTGGCAATCAGAGCCCCAAAGTATTCTCAGCAAAGTGAGAGAGTTTGTGAAATATAAGCCAGTGGACTACGGTATTTTAAAATGCATATGAGACAGAAAAATACAAATTGTTTTAAAGTTAATAATAGGAGAATTATCCAATTTAAGAGGACAGTGTTATAATTAAGTTTTGATTCTGTGAATGTCAACATATCAGAAGGAGGAGGGTGAACTACTGCAGAGTAAAAGAACACCAGTTAAGTTAGACTTCTTGGTCATAAGTGAGCTCATTTGGACTTCAATAAGTTGGCAATATGTATAAGTTGCACTACATATATTACTTGGTTTATTACTTACTGTATTTGCCGAATAGTTTATATTTGTGATTTCATTGAAACTTGCATTTGATTAGATGAGAATTGTGTGCCCAATATATTTGAATTAAGTTGTGCCTAATATAACACATTAGTCAAAAATATTTTAAATATTTTGAAAAATAATTGTCAGGCAAAAGTTAGAAAAGTATTTGGGCAATTTTGTTGTGGTTGTGTAGTTGTTAAGTTGTGTCCGACTCTTCGTGACCCCATGGACCAGAGGACGCCAGGCCCTCCGGTCTTCCACTGACTCCTGGAGTTTGGTCAAATTCAGGATGGTAGCTTCGGTGACACTCGTCAGCCATGGAAGGCAGCCCATCTAGGAGAAGGAAAACTCCGATTTCAAACCTCCACTGCCTTGTGGCTATATCCATTCATGGAAAAGGCTTCAGGAGTTAACCTAGAGGCAAAATC